CCCCACCCCCACCCACGCCCCCGCAACCCGGGGACAGCGGGAGGGTCTCCGCAGCTGTAGACGCCGTGTCGCTAGTCAGAAGAGTGCTTGGAAATCTGTGGCTGGTGGTCCAGAGAGGGTAGGCTATTGAAACAAAGTCACACAGCGCTGGCCGCGTTGGCGCGGGAACTTGGAACCTCAGGCTATGGGAGAGGGCCGGCAGGAACCTGTGTTGACTCTCGCTGCATCTTGGAGGAAGGAAACTGAGCCCCACAGAGGACGAGACCATCCTGGGTCACATCGCGGGGAGTCAGAAGACCCCTCCCGCTTTGGGCTCCTGTCTCTGTGAATGGGTGCCCCCTCCTGGTGACCCGTTTCCTGCAGAACCCTCTCCCACGTGCCCTCTGGTCTCAAGCAGTACTAGGGTTAAAAACAGTCTCTGGAGTCAGGTAGCGGGGATGGCGATAGGCTGAGTACCTGTCCTGCCTCTCCTGAGGCTTTGTGACCACAGACTGCCTTTCTCTGAGCCCCATTTTCTCCACCTGTAAAATGGGACAACAGGAGTATCTATTGCCAACCTGAGTAAAGAAACCAAACAGATAAAGATTGTAAGTAAGCTCTTTGATGATGCCAAGCATTCAGTAGATGTCAAATGCATGTGCCTGTCTCCCCTGGCTCCCACACAGAGCCAAGGCTGGAAAACACCAGTTGAACACAGAAGAGTTAGGACAATGTTAATGGGTGACATTTAAGGTTCCTCACAGCCCTTTTCCCAATCTCATCCACCACCTGCCCACCTGTTCACAACCCCATCCAGACAGACTGTTCCAGTGTCCAGCCTCTGCCTTTACCTGGCCTGCGTGGCCTTCCATCCTCTATCTAACAAACTCCTACTCGTCCACCCAGACCCCAGGGATCAGTTTCTCATACTGTCAACTGGTCCATCCATGTCTGTCTTCTCAGGAACATGTCCCCTCCCCCAGTGTCTGTGCTGTTTTGCTCTGTCTTCCGGGCTCTGGCAACTGTGAAGAGAGTGTGCTCAGAGGAGATGGCAGGACCTATGCTGCTCAAGAGGACTTCCTGGCAGAGGTGAAGCTTCTGCAAAGCCTCCAAGAAGAAGGGAGTTTGGGGTCCTCAGGAGAAAGGAGAGTATGTGACGGGAGAAAAGGTGGCTGTGGGTTTGGGCAGGATGCGAGCAATGAGGAGTGTGGGCTACATGGAGCAGTGGGAGAACTTTCTCCACTGAGCTGGGGGCCATGGAGAGCCAGGACAGCCAAGGGCTGGACAGTGACCTGGAACAGTATGGTCAGGTCGAAGATGAGCAGGCATTGCCCCCTAGATAAAGAGCTCTAGGAGAGTCCGCACAGATATCCATAGCAGCGCCATTTGTAGTAGCCGGATGCAGCCTGACCGCCCATCAGCTGTGAATAGTGATGACCAGACACTGGAAAACTTTCCACTCCACTGTCTCCAGAGCAGGTGAGCACAAGCCGCACAAACCCGTGAGGATTAAATCCCAAAACCACACTGTTGATTCAGCTTGTGGAAATTCAGTGTTGTACACTTGTGTTTAGAGTACCCTTTGTCTCAATTTTCTACTTCAGTTTTTTAAAATAAAAATTAGATATGAAAAGAGTAAGTTGAAGACAGAAAGCCCAGTTTGATGCCAGATGTATAAAGTCTGCACACATGCAACACAATACGATTTCTTACACAGGGACCCATACATGTGCAATACGGGTGTAAGAGCACTCACAGGCGCGATAAATAGCAAATCCAGGACAGTTTGCCCCTGAGGGAAGAGGGGAGGGAGGGAACGTAATAGGGGTTTCAAACGTGCTTGAAATGGCTTATTTCTTAAGCTGGGTGGTGGATACATGGGTGTTTGTTATGCAGTTCTCTCATCTTTTTTGTGAAATATTTATATTGTGATGATACTGTTTTTCTTTAAGTCAGTGCCTGGAAAGGCAATGGGGAGCCATTGCTGGTTCTTGAACAGTGGGGCCTCAGGGTCAGTGGATTGGAAGAGGCAGGATTAGAAAAGGATGGTTGTGGAAGGCTGGTGTGACAGTCCAGGGGAGAGGTGCGGAGGACTAAGTGGGAGTAAGAACAGGGTCATGGGAGGTGGATAAGGATGGGAGAGAAATAAGCATTGGCCTTATTTAGGCAAGGGTCACAAACCTAAATGCTTGGACAGGATAGGAGCATGAAGTAGTGGGGACTGTGACACTCTGCACCAGCTAATTATTGCCATGTAAGAAAGAAGGCCCAGCTGGGCATGGCAATGCATGCCTCCTTTAATCCCAGCAGCTTGGGAGGCTGAGGCAGGAGCAAGACAAGTTGGAGGCCAGGCTCAGCAACTTAGTGAGACCTTGTTTCAAAAAATAAAAAGAAGCTGGGGATGTGACTCAGTGGTAAAGTGCTCCTGGGTTCAATACTTAGTACCAAAAAAGGAAAAAGAAAAAAGGCCCAGGGAGGCCACATCTCAATTTTTCAAGAGAAACCAGTAACTCCTACTTTTCAAATGCAAATGGAAAATTATGGCAGATAGTTGAAAAACACTTCCTAGGACCATCCTGAACCGGTTTGCAGTCTCTTCAGTGAGGCTGAGCTTTCCTGCCTGTGAGGCTGGGGAGGCTCACAGCCCGGGCAGCAGTCAGGGAGGGCTTCCTGGAGGAACTGGCGCGGGGTGGTGCAGGGGGAAGGTGCTTCAAGCTGAGAGAACAGCACTTGCAAAAAAGCAGGATTGAGCCAAGTAGCCCTAAAGAAAGAAGGAACAGAGAACAGGCAGAGGTGGTTCACAGGGAGGAAACCTGCCAGTCACAGCGTGAGCAGCACCTGACCTCATCAGCCATCAGGGAAATGTCACCCAACGCCACAGTGAGACGCCGGCACCCCAAGCCACGGTGAAAATGACGAAATCCAAGTCAGCGTTTTTAGGCAGCTTTTTCATTGCTGTAACCAAAAACCCTAACGAGAACAACACAGAGGAGGGAAGCTTATTTGGGGCTCCCGTTTCAGAGGCTCAGTCCATAGATGGCTGCTGTTGCTCTGGGCCCCAGCCAAGGCAGCACACCGTGGCAGGGGGCATGTGGAGCAAAGCTGCGCAGGGCAGGCAGCCAGGAAGCAGAGAGCATGGGCAGGGGAGAGTGCGGGCAGGGACAAAATACAACCCCCAGGGGCACACCTCCAGTGACTGGCTTCTTGCAGCCACACTCTGCCTGCCTGTAGTCACCGCACACTTGATCCCGGTGAGTGGCGCAGTCCACTGATTAGGTCAAGGTCCTCGTAACCTGACCATTTCATCGTTTCACCTCGGAACATTCTTCTTCTTCTTTTACTTTCTTCTAGTTTTTTTCTTTATTGGCAATGCTGGGACTCAAACCCACAGCCTTGTGCATGCTAGGCAAGCACTCTACCACTGAGCTATGTCCACAGTCCCCTCACCTCTGGACATTCTTACATTGTCTCACACATGAGCTCTTGAGGGACACCTCATACCTAAACCATAATAGTCAGACAGTACCCAAAGCCGGTGAAGTGTAGCCCCATGGCAGCCTTAACATACTGCTGATAGAGGGTGCGCTGGCACACCCACTAGACCCCACAATTCCTGTTTTTCAAACTTTAATGTGCAGGTGATCCCACAGGGGCCTTGTGAAAATGCAGATTGCTATTACATGGGTCCAGAGCAGGACCTGAGATTCTGCATTTCTAACAAGTTCCCAGGGATTGCAGGGCTGATGATCCTTGGACCACATTTTACACAGCATTAGGAAAAATGCACAGGAATAGCCCTAGCAGCACTTTTTGTAATAGGAGAAGACCTGAAAACAACCCCATGATCAATTGACAGGAAAATAAATAAGTAAATAGTGGTATAGTCGCACACGGCTCTTAAACAACTAAATCATAACTCTTCACAACATAGACATGCTGATCAACATAGCATTGAGTTTTACAAAAGGATCATATGTGGTAAGCGCCTTTTAATATGAAATGAATAAACAAATTAAAACAAATAACATATTATTTAGGTGTTTGTACATGTACTAAAACTAGAAATAAGGAAACCAGAGAAGGATAAACTTAAAATTCAGTTTAAGAGAGTGCTGGGGATGGGGACAGCACGGAGGAGATATCAGGTATCAGTTCTGTCCTAGCTTGCGGGGTGGGCAGCACCTCCGGGCGCTTGTATTTTTCACAATCTTGCATCACATACGTTGGGCCATGTGTGGACCAAGGCTGAGAGCATATCGTGAACCAAAGGCTCCGATTAGCTCAATTATGTTTATCCAAGATCTGTACTTAACAGAGAGGCAGAGACTCAAAGAGAGATGGAAAGGGCTGGGGCTGGGGCTCAGTGGCAGAACACTTGCCTAGTACGTGGGAGGCGCTGGGTTCAAACCTCAGCACCACTTTCAAAAAAGAGAAAAGGAGGGAGGGAGGAAGGAAGGAAGGAAGGAAGGAAGATATTGTGTCCATCTACAACTAAAAACATTTAAAGAGAGAGAAAGAGAGAGAGACACTAAGATAGGGAGAGAGTGGACTGTGGGCATGGACCGTGTGGGAAAAGGTGATTAAACACTAGCATGGCCTGGCGATCAGGGGCAATCAGGCCTCTGAGGGAAGTTAGGTGCAGAAGTTGTGGCACTAGGGGACATTTGCTGACCCAACCCAGAGGCAGGTAGGGAGCCAGTGTGGTGGGAAAAGTCTGTGGTGCCAGGGGCCTCCAGGGGTCTCCTCCAGTCCTGCCACAAACCTGCCAGCTCAGACCACGCTGGTGCCAGAGCTGCAGGCTTCATGAAGGACCCCAAAAGAGGACAGAATAACTGATCCAAACCAGAAAATTGTCCTAGTGGAGAAAGTCCCCTTGGCAGCAGGTAACATCCTGCCCTTGAAGACGACTAACTCTGGTAATGACCATTCTAGGTAATGATGAGACCTGGTTTGTACCAAAACAGATACACCCAGGTCAGTCGAGACAAATCTAGGGAGTGGCCAGCCCCAGCACTGTCCTCTGGATCAGTCATATATCTGGACAGGCTGGGCCAGCTCCCCCAGGACACAAAGAGGAAGGCGCTCACAGGCTGTCCTGGGCTCAAGGTCCCTGTAGGGAGCATCCTGCTCCAGTCTGCTCCTTTCCATCCATCCTTCACACCAGTCCCAGAGACAGCTTTCTGGCACAGTTTGGACTGTCTTCCCCTGCGTGGAGCCCTGCATTGCCTCCCCAGCACCTGGGGATTTACTCTGAGCTCCTTGGTCTGGTGTTCAAAGCTCTTCACCATTTGGCTTTTTCACTGTGTCCTAACTCAGTTCTGGTCTAATCCCCTGACTCGGGTACAGGCTCTGCAGTGTCTCCCAAAGACAACGAGCTATTTCACACTCAGCCTTTACTAGAATGCCTCTTCCTCCATTGCTCAGTTGCCTTTCAAAGTCAACTCCATTGTCATCTACTCTGAGGAAATCTCTGACTTCTGTGTTCCACTCCCATTCCCAAAGTACTTTACCATGACAAAGAATCACCACGTGTCAAGCACCATATAGCACTTGGCTTCTGGTGCCTGCCTTGGATTCCAGCTGAGCTGGTAGACAGCTTTCCAAACACTGGCCCACTGCAGGTGCCCCCCACATTGTTCTGCTTGTCTGCCTGACAGCTTTTCCTGAGGTTGCTGGAGGTGGCCCAGCCCAAGCTCAAGGCAGCTTGAAAATGCAGGCAAGTGAACACCCCCAGAAGAACCTTCCATCACTTCCTGGGAATGGAAGTCATGGGCAAATGCTCAGCCTCCCAGCCTTCAGGGAGATAGTTTTGGGGGTGTTCACCACTGTTCCTCAGAAGGTGCCCAGCTGGATGGTGTCCAGCTGCCCACACTGGTCACCTGCTCACTAGTGAGCACTCACTTCCTGACTTTCTCTCCTCCCATCTCATTCTTTGCACCCTTTCTCTGCTGCTTCCTAGGATCACTTCCCGAATAAACTATCTGTGCATCTCGAAGTTGCTTTTGGGGGACCCAAATTTAGACACACCTGTTTGCTTTCATTGTTCCCACAAGACTGGAAGTAGCTCCTTGAAGTTCAGGGTCACCTCAAGTTCTTCTCCAGTTGTGGTGTTTGACAGTCTGGGTTGCTCCATGACAGTGCCCCTTGTCTCTGTGGCACCTTACACCCACAGGCTCAGCCAAAACGGTAGACCATCTCAAGTGGTTGTTAGTGAGGCCTGTCCTAGGCGGAGGGCGAGGCAGGGCTTGCCCCTCCCTTCCTTCTTCCCTGTGTTTTTCAAATGTTCCAAGTGTTCATATCTATTCCTCTGCTTTGTTTTGCTTTGTTTTCACAGTGTGGAAGGAGTGTGGGCTCTAGAGTGAACGGGCCTGGAATCAGATTTTGGCTCTGCACAACTGGCTATGATTGGGTGCACATTACCCAACCTCACTGAGCCTCAGTTTCCACATGTGGGAAATGGACATAAACACAAACCCCTGCTTGACAGAGTGGCTGTGACTTATAAGATGAAGCACTTTGTAAACCCTGAAGTGCGTTGCAAGGCTGAGTTATCCTTATCCCTGGGGCTGGCACTAGGCCTGGCATGGAGGAGGTGCCTGAAAAATGTTTGGAGAACAAACTGATTGAAGCTAGGAATGGAAATCCCACAGTGTTCCTTATCTCATTCATTCACTCACTCACTCATTCATTCAGGGCTCACTTGGGGCCAAGCCCGTGCTGAGTACTGGCAAAGCAGAGTTGTGTGAGGAACATCTCTGGCCTAAGGGAGACTGTGATCTTCAGAGTGGACCACGAGAACCCAGCCTCGTGGAGGGGCCCTGGATGAACCTCCAGAATAGAAAGAAGTGAAGCCTGGAAGCGCAAGATGAGCCTGATGAGCAAGGGGAGGACGGAGAGGATAGCTCATCACAAGGGCGTGAGCAGGGACCCGGAGGCCAGAATGGGGCACCCACAGACCACAACTGCAAGCTCGTGGAGGTGAAGGGTAAGTGCAAAGGTGAAGCCAGGAAGGTGAGCAGGGATGCATTATGGTGACCTCAAAGTCCTCACAAGGAGTAGGGACTTCAACTGCAGGTGATGGGAGCCATCGAAAATGAGGATGAGTTTGGAAAACTCTTTCTTTGTGAAACTTGGGAAACTCATTTTGCCTCCCAGGGCCTCATTTTCTTTGTCTGTACCACGGGACGGGGCGGGGGGGGGTGGTGAAACCCACAACAAAGTGGGTGTGTGGCAGAGAAGCAGGGTGCTCACTGGACATGAGAGGGAGTTGATGATTGAGTTTCTGCCTGGCTCAGGAGACCCTAGGCCTTTGCTCGCAATGTTCTGCACCTGGACCCCATCAGCCCCCAATCTTGCCTATTCCCTCCCTCACCCCTCTCACCCACAGACCAACAGGCTAGAGGCCTGGGGCTTTCTTGGGGCCACCTGGTGAGACAAACACACAACCAAGGCCAACACTGTGTCTCTGCTCTGTGATGCCAAAAATGTTTTTTCTCTGCCCCTCAGTATGGATTCGCCTCCAGGGCCTGCCCTCATATTCTCTGTGATGAGGAGGCATCTGGGTCCCCTTTTCTCCTTGAAGGGCCAGAGCAGCCTGCCTCTGCCTCCCAGATGCCCGAACCACCATCTGCTTCCACCCGAGCCCTCGGCTCTTTTCTTAAAATAATTCCTCCTGTTTCCTTGGAGACATCTCTCACATGGAAGAAAGGAAAGGAGGGAGGGAGGGAAAGAAGCAGGAGGACAGGTTGGATCCTGTTTCCTGAATACCTACTATGTGTCAGGCCTGACCCCTACCATCCTTCTCAGCTAGGGATTGCTCCCCACTTTTCAGATACAGAGCTGAGATGGGCAGACCTGACCTCCCTTAGCCCATCTCACAGCAAATGAGAGAAGACCTAGGATTTGAACCCAGATCTGTTGGATTCAAAAGCCGAAGCTTATGTCACATGGTACTGTGACTGTGAGGGAGAGTGTCTGGGACTGTGAGGGAGAGCCCTATCCTTATTCTAGGCCCAAATATCCTGACAAGGGCAATGTTCATTCTCCTCGACCTGGCTTCCTTCCTTGATTGAATTTAGAACACCTTTATGGGAATCTGTTAGGCCTTGAACCAGCATGCAGTGAGTGGAGGGCTCTGATTTGAATAAGACAAGATCTTCTCCCTTGAAATATTCACACTTTGAGGATGGGGAGAATTAAAATGTGACCACTGGCCCATATTTTCTGTGTACATCAGCAAAGGCTTCAGAGGGACCATTTCAGCTGCTCCTCCTAATACCCCAGCCACTAGGATTTAAGAGCCTCATTTTTCAGAGAAGAAACTGAGTCCCAATGAAATAAATTCATTTCTTGAAGGATTCATAGGGAAGAAGTGGTGCCACCAGATGAAGTCCCAGGTTTTGCCAGAAAATGATTTTCTGTAATGGCCCCAAGACCCATACAAAGCACTGCTGTGGAGTGCAGGGACTTGTGGTGGGAGCTCAAGGACCCCAGGTAAAGAGGAAGAAATTAAAGGATCTGGACACATGGATCTCAGCCCTGTTTTGGCCTCAGTTCTTGCAAGCAGTCCCCAAACTGACATCACCAAGGAATATGACACCACCCACCCAAGCACCTGCTTTTGCTGGTGAATCCCCCTCACAGAATCTTATAGTAGACATCTGGTCAACCCTAACTCCTCACATCCTCTTTTGACCTCACCCAACACCTATCTAGTTGCCCCCACTAGTTCAGATCTTGAGTTTAGAGGCAGCTATCACATCTGATGGCTAAGCCTAGACAGGAGAGGCTTTCTGCAAAGATTTCAGGTGGGAAGTGGGAGCACATCAACACGGGTAGGTGCTGGGTGTGCCGAGTTCCACTTGCCTTTTGTGTCCAGTGCTAGAGGGCCATGGCTCACACTCTGTAGTGCAGGTCTTACCACAGGGTCCGTGACAACCCTGCAGCAGGCACAGAACAAAGGAAGGGAATTCTAGGTGAGGGCCTGGCCCAAACAGAAGGAAGAGGCAGGAGGTGTTCAGGGAGAAGCAAACACCCGAGTGTGACATGGGAGAGTGGCAGAGATGGGACCTGCACAGGGGTTTTCAATAGGAAAGACTCTGCGTGCCCACTAAGCAGTGCATCCTTCATCTGGGGGAGCAAAGGGGAGACATCCTAGAATTCAGAGAACATGGTTTCACGCAGATCTCTCTGGTGGCCAGTGTGGAGGAGGACTGTCAAAAGCGGGTGGGAGGGGAGCAGAAGCCCTGGAGGGAAGGGAAAAGTGGGAGAGATGCCATGCAGGTAGAATCAGCACTGGTGCTGATGGATCCCCTTGGGGGGTGAGGGAAGAGGAGACAAAAATGAGGCTCTGGGTTTTGGCAGGGTGACTTTTGTGAGATGACTGAAAGATACAGTACTGCTTCTGTGGGCTCCATGTCTTGCAGTTTACAAAGAGCTGCCAGTTCACAATTTCCCTGGAACTTTCTAAAGACCCTGTGAAGGTTGAATAAAAGAAGTGTCATTTTTCTCAGAGGGAAAACTTGAAGGTCAGAGAGTGGTGATAACTGACCCACTCGTCCTCCAAGAAGGGGAGGAGCAGGTATTCTGCCCTGAGCCCAAGATTTTCTCCTGCACCCAAGGAGCCTCCAGCCATGCAGAGGCTTGCAAGATGTCCAGGAAAACTGCCAAGCATGGGGGAGGCTGGGCCTGGAGCAACAGAATGACCAGCGGCATGGAGTGGACACGGTCATTCAATGAGAGGGCCTTGAGAGACATAAGGCCATCACTGGGTGGCACCTCAAGAAACAGTAAGCTTCACGAGTTGAGCCAAAGAGGCTAAAAGTACATGATCTGGGAAGTAGAAGGCAAGCCAGAGAGTGATATGAGACAGAAGCCAGGGAGGACTGAGCTTCCAGAAGGAGAAAGTGGCCAGCGGCATTATGAAATGCAGACTGTTTCTGTTCCGTCAGCATCTGGGCCCTTGGGGTAGGGGGCGGTCCAAGGAGACAATGAATATACTTAATTATTATAAAATTATGGACAGAGGCCAGGGATAATTGTTCTGGTCCTGGCTTTGCCACCTCTCCAGGTGGTCTTGGACAGATCCTTTTCCCTTTCTACACCCACGTTTTCCCCTCAATCCAATAAAAATTCTCCCATTTTGGAAACATCATTTTATTCATTCAATTAATTTGAGAAATATTCATTGAGAACCTACTATATGCCAGATATTGTTATAAGAATTTCAGAGACTTCACTAAACGATAAAGAACTTACCTGCGTGGAACATGCATCAAGCCGAGGGGACTGATCAGTAAGCAAAAAACATAAGAAGTAAGCGAATGACATAGTTTATTAGATTGTTACAAAGTTCTTTTTTTTTTTTTATAGATCAGGGTAAGAGAAATAGGGAGTGCTAGAGACATTGCTGATTATTAATTATAATAGAGTAGTCAGGTTGAATTCACTGAGAAAGTGATATTTGAGGAAAAGAGTAATGGGGATGTCCTTGCCGATGTCTGGGGTAAAAGTGTTCTAGATGGAGGAAGCAGTCAATGCAAAGCCTGTAAGATGAGAAATAAATCTCCCTTCCTGTAAAATGCTCGATTTAATAAAAAAAAAAAAACTATGTGGAAATGGACAAATCTTAAAGAGAGAAGAGATACCTTCTTATGCCAGAAACAAAGCCAGAACACGAGACCAAAGAGATAAGCCTACACTAACGCTGCAGGATGTCACGCTTAGGTAACAAGAAGCCCATGACCATGTAGGGCGGAGAGCCAAATGAGCCAGAGATCACCCCACATAAATTATGGACTCAGGAAAGGCTACACCACTGACAAGAGAGTGGATTTTGTTGTTTCCGTTGTTTTTGTACTTCCAGCCCTGGAAATGAACTCAAGGGTGCTTCACCACTGAGCTAAGTCCCCAGTTCTTTTTATTTTGAGACAGAGTCACTTACGAATTTTGTTAAGTTACTGAGGCCGGCCTGAACCTGTGATCCTCAGTCTTCCCATTTGCTAGAATTACAGGCATGTGCAAAGTGCATGTGCCAGCTAAGGTAGATTTTGTTTGTTTGTTTTAAATCCTGCCCCATGGAGGTAGACATGTCTATCTCAGCCTTGGTTTAAGTGGTATTAAAGAAAAACAAGAAGTTTTTCTGAGAAGTTGTAGATCTTGAGTGGCCCTCACATGGATTCAAGGCCTGAATTTTAAGTATTAGTATTACTCAAAAAATTTAAGCTGAGAATTTCAAGTTAAAATAAACCTGAAAATTAAGAAAGCCAAAAGTTTGTTCTGTGGCAGGGTGAGGGGGTGGGAGAAATAGAGACAGAGAGACAGAGGAGAGCATGGGGACAAAGTCTAAACCTCGATAGGCATGGTGGCATGCCTGTAATCTCAGAAGTTTGGAAGGCTGAGATAGGAGGATCTCGAGTTCAAAACCAGCCTCAGCAAAAGTGAGGTGCTAAGCAACTCAGTGAGACCTTGCCTCTAAATGAAAATACAAAATAGGCTGGAGATATGGCTCAGTGGTTGAGTGTCCTTAAGTTCAAACCCCAGTCTCCCCTCAAAAAAAATTTAAACCTTAAGAATGAGGAATAATCATCACTACCGATGCTATGGATATTTAAAAGGTAGTAAGAAAATATTATAAACAGCTTTATTCCAAAAATTGAATAAGTTACTGGAAAAGATTACATTCCTTGAAAAAAAGTACTTAAAAAAAGAAATGAAAAATCAGAATAGCCTTATAAATCTGTCAAATTTATTTCCTGACTCAGTTTATAAATTCAGCCTAAGCTTGTAATTAAGCTGAGGAGGATATTACTAGGAAGAAAAAGTATAAGCCAACATTTTCATGAATGAAGATGCAAAAATACTAAAGAAAATATTAATTTAACAAATCTAATTATAAATAAAAGTGTGATGTATCATGACAAAATGTAATTTATCCCATGAATGCAAAGCTAATTTGCCATTCAAAAATCAATATAGTGCAACAGAAAGTTTTAAAAATGATAATTTCAGAAGATGTGGAAAATTTTTTGGTAACATTCAACACCCATTCCTGAAAACAAATTCTTAGCACCAAGGAATTAAAGGAGACCTCCTTAATCTTATAAAGGGCATCACAAAACCCTTCCACTAACTTACTATCTATCAGTGAAAAATGGAATGATTTTCCCTTCAAATTGTCCACCATCGCCACCATTATTCAACATGGTATTAGAGCCTCTAGCCAGTGCGATAAGGGAATTAAAAAATGTTCAAATTGGAACAGAAGAAGTATAAACATCTGTATATCATGTAATATACAGATAACATATTGAATATGTGGAAAATCTAAAAGGATCTATACAACATTGGAGATAAAAAGTGAATTTGTTCTCTGTATTAAAAACCAATATTCAAAACAATGATATTTTTATAGATGAACAACAAAACATTAAAAGTAAAATTTAAATAAATTATACCATTACAATAGCATGCAAACTTATCAAATATCCATGAATATCTCTAATGAAAGATATGTGAGACTTCTACACTAAAAACTACAAAACTTTGCTGAGAGAAATGTATTGAAGAAAAAAATAAGATGCTCATGGATTGGAGCACTAACCATTGAAAGATATCAATCACAATTGAAATCCTATTAGTATTTTGATAAGCTCATTCTAAAATGTATATGAAAATTCAAAAGACTTTCAACTGGAGAGACTATATTGAAGAAGAAGAATAAAGCCACACAACTAACATTATTATTTTGCAGGATATGTTAAAAAATATGGATGGAAGAAAATATTTGGAACAAAGGGCCATCATATAGGATATATAAAACAATTAAAAACAAACGGTGGGGGGGGGCTGGGGATGTGGCTCAAGCGGTAGCGCACTCACCTGGTGTGCGTGCGGCCTGGGTTCGATCCTCAGCACCACAAACAAAGATGTTGTGTCCACCGAAAACTAACTAACTAAATAAATAAATAAATATTTAAAAACTCTCTCTCTGTCTCTCACTCTCACATTCTCTCTAAAAAATAAAAAATAAGCAAACAGGGGTGCTGAGGTTGTGGCTCAGTGGTAGAGGGCTCACCTAGCATGGGTTCGATTCTCAGCACTGCATATAAATAAATAAAATAAAGATTTATTGACAACTAAGAAAATATATATATATATAAAAAATGAGGGACACACAAGGAAAAGTACAAGTTAAACTGGGAAAATCCAAATAAGATCAGTAGATTGTGTCACTATTCACCTCCTAGATGTGAAACTATAGTTTTGGAAAATGTTACCATCAGGGGAAACTGACTAAAGGGAATTCTACTATTATTTACAGCTGCATAAAGATCTACAATTACCCCAAGATAAAAATTTTAATTAAAAACAAACTATTGTAATCGAGACAGTGTGGCATTAGTGCAAAGAGAGGCAAACAGATCAAGGATACAGAATGAATCCTAAATCAGACCCTCACATTCACCTGGCTAGCGAGCTTCCCCTGCAATTCTGTGGGGGAAGGGATGGTCTTTTCAAAAAAAAAAAAAACAAATTGGAGCTGCCAAAGCCAAATATCCATAGAGAAAACAAATCTTGACTTTTACATAAAAATTAATTCAAGGTAGACATAGATCTAGCTACAAAAACTAAAACATTAAGATTTCTAAGAGAAAACATGGATGCTTAAAGATCATTGCATAAAGATTTCTTCAAAGATAAAAGAAACATCAGTGACAAAAGAAAAGAATGATAAACAGACTTCATTTAAATTGAACTCTTTGTTTAGGAGACATAAAGATAAGCTTCAGACTGGGAAAAAAGTATGTTTTCAATACACACACCCAACTCATGGCTCCTAGCCAGAAAAGAACTCCTAAGATTCTATCCAAAAAAAGACCAATAATCCAATTTGTATTTGTTGTTTATTTTGTTTTGTTTTGGTACCGGAGATTAAACATGGGAGGGCTTTGCCATTGAGCTACATCCCTAGCCCTTTTTATTTTTTATATTGAGATAAGGTCTTGCTAAGGTCCTCGACAAGTTGCTAAGGCTGGCCTTGAACTTGAAATCCTCCTGCTCAGCTTCCTGAGTTATTGGGATTACAGGCACCATGCCTGACAACCTGATTTTTTAAAATATACATTAGAACAGTTTAATGCTTACATTTTGATGGCTTAGTCACCCCCACCCCACCCTGCCTCAATAGGTGAACTGGACACAACAGCACAGGACACAAGCTATAGGTCCATCACACTTCTACCATCCTCAGTGGGAAGTGGTGGGGCCAACTCAGGCCTCTAGATAGGCCCCAGAAGAAAAAGGCCCACAAAACTAGGTCTGAGAGATCTCATGGTGGCAAGTTTCAAGTTTATGTAAGGACTGGGTGAGACTTTGATTGAACATTTCTTCAGAACACAGGATTTCCTGAGTGGGGGATCAGCCTTGGACCTGAGTGCTACTGACCAAGAAGCTACTCCAAGGCCTAATCAGCCACCATGGGCACAGATGAGCAAGGTGACAAGATGAGGAAATGCCTGGCACTCAGTTGTATGGTGTTAGATCCTCTGGTGGTCTCTACAAACCGTCCCTCCACTCTGATCAGTGATGACTAATGAGATTCTCCATGTAATCAGGGACCCAAGTATGAGAAAGCCCTCAGTAGGCAGCTCACAGGTGGGTGCAGAAATAACATTTTGTTGTATGATTTAGATATGCAGTGTCCCCTAAAGCTCATGAGTGAGAAAATACAAGAAGGTTTAGAGGTGAAATGATTGTGTTGTGAGAGTCTTAACCTAATCAGTGCATTAATCCCCTGATAGAAATTAACTGGGTGGTAACTGAAGGCAGGTAGGGTTTTGCTGGAGGAGACGAATTGTTGGGGGCATGCCCTTGGGGTATATATTGTGTCCTTGATTGCTACTCTCTTTTTCTCACTCTCCCCACCACCCCTATTCCTTACTATTGATCATGTCCTGAGCTGCTTTCCTCCATCACACTATTCTGCCATGATGTTCTGCCTCATCTTGAGTTCAGAGCAATGAAGCCAGTCGTCCGTGGACTGAGACCTCTGAAACCGTGAGCCCCAAATAAACTTTTTCATATCTAAAATTGTTCTTGTCAGGTCTTTTGGTCACAGCAACAAAAAAAGCTGAGTAAAACACATTTTTAAAACTCAGTTCTTTTTAAAAACAATTTTTAGTTGTCGAAAGACCTTTATTTTATATATTTATATGCAGTGCTAAGAATCAAACCCAGTGCCTTCTACATGCCAGGCAAGTGAGCCCCAGCCCTAGCTAAACTCAGTTTTCATGATCAGATGAGAAACTTAGGCACAGCAGAATTTGTTGTGACTTTCCCAAATTAAAGAGAACATAAGTGATGATATCAAGATTTGAATTCAGGCAGTCTGACTCCAGAACTGTCAATGGGAGAAACGTGATTTCTGGGTCTACTAGATCCAGAAGCCATGTTTTGAAAGACTCCATCTTACAACAGTAAAAATATAAATAAATAAACATGTACATTAAGTGAAATATTTCTTGAATATTTAGCTAAAGATTTCTAGAACTAGAAGGTATCTTGGAGGTCATTTAGCTCAAAATCATTTATCACCGCTGTGCACAAAAGTTCAACAGGATTTCCTGAAGTACCCCAAGTCTGCAAACAGTAGAACACAAACAAATACAGATCCACAATCTTTTACATGCAACATGAAAGCCCAAGGAACCTTGTAAACTGAACGTTTTTCTTTTGCAGTTAATTGGTGGTTGACTCATTTGTAGGCAAAAAAAAAATCTGACCTCAATAGATGCGAGGTTGCTTTATACCAATTAGTATAAATATTTACATGTTTTGCTGCACAAATATCAATTAGTTTTATAACAGGTGCTGCCCTAGACTCAGTGGTATCCTGGAGCCAATCTGTTTAGGCTCATGGAAACAATTTGTTAAATATTTAAGGATTTCATGAGCCATTCAGTTGGTAGCTTGAAGTTGGCCAGAGTTAGATTATTCATGAGAAAATACTACAAATCACACCTTATTTATTTATTTTAATTTTTGAGAACCAGTTTACCAGAACACTACTGCCCTAGACTATGCTAGAGGTTATATATTGTAGAAATGAACTACTTTACTTTTCTGGTGAATTAAAATTAATTCTAAACTCAGAAAAAGGAGTAACAAACTTGAACACATATGAAATAGGTCAAATTATCCAAAACATGAGAAGATATTCCATATCATGAATTATCTGGCAAATACTAATTAAAACCACAATGAGGGCTGGGGTTGTGGCTCAGCAGTTGAATGCTCACCTCGCACGTGCGAGACCTGGGTTTGATCCTCAGCACCACATACAAAAATATACAAGTGAAATAAAGGTGTTATGTCCAACTACAACTGAAAAATAAATATTAAAAAAGTAAAACCACAATGAAATACTATTACACCTCTGACAAATGGCAAAAATTAAAAACTGACAATGCTAACACTGCGAGAATGTAGAGCCACTGGGACTCTCACACGTGACTAGTAGAGAGGGATTTGACCCAACCACTTGGGAAAACATTGGCAGTGTCCCTGAGCCAAATATCCACACACTCCATCTCCCAAGAATCTCACTCCTGGGTATTTACCCAATAAAAATAAATGCTATGTTCACCCAAAGCATTACATAAGAATGTTCACAGAAGCTTTATTTATAACAGTGCCAAACTGGATATTGCCCAAATGGCCATCAACAGGTGAATGCATAGATGAATTGCAGAATTTCATGCAATGGAATACTACACAGAAATGAGACTGAGCAAATGACAAACACACATTATAACACAAGTGAATCTCACAGACATACACCAGGATAAACAACATTACATGGCCCCACTTGTAAACATTTCACAACAAATCAGTAATTTGGTAGAAGTTCAAATAGTAGTTTCCTCTCTGGGTGGAGGTGACTAGAAATGAAGATGCAGAAACTTTCTGGAATTCTGAGAATTTTCTATATCTCAATTCAGATAAGAGTTGTGTGGATGTTTGCCTATTAAAATGTACATTCAAGATTAATGTGTTTTATTGTATGTATGTTTCCCTCAATAACAATTCAATTAAATGTTTTGCAAAAAAGAAATTCATCCAGCTATG